TTCAAAATTACCAAATAATTCATACCTTGAACCAAACACTGTGAAATTTTGCAGAGAATAAGTTTAATAAGTTTATAATCATATCCAAGTAAATCACGTAAATAAATTTAGTATAAACTTGTATTAAACACAAAATTCATAAATGACTTAGAAATTGTGCAGTTTCAGAAAACGATCCATAACTTAGTGATACGAAACCCGTAGAACTTGTTACGAGACCCTAATACCCTACGCGGAAGCAAGATCGACACACCCAAAAACAAAGATTCAAGTTTGGCGGAAGCAAGGAACATTGACCCCATAACTATAAAGAGCTAGAAACCATTATTATCAAGGTGAAATATAATATTGACCCCGTGGTTATAGAGAACCAGAAACCAATATTATGTCGCTAAGAAAGTTACAAGAATCCACTTGTAAAATCCTGAAATTTGCTGTAGAACAGCGAAGGAGAATTAACTCTCAATATACTCAAATATGCATTAAAATTCGTCTTAGAAAATAAGCCAAATTGGCAACCTATTTATAAGGTCTAAAAAGACTCATTTTTCACAAGGAAAAGGACTCCTACCTAAACTATAATAAGGAAACTTGTAAATAAGCAAATCCTAACCATAAAAGACTCTAAAATAATAAAAACATAATAAAACCTAAATTAAAAACGTGCATAAATAAATTAGATAACTTGATCTTCAAGTCGACTTCTCGATCACCCTTCTTAACTCGCGACATTGGGCTGTGCACGTGCATGCAATTAAAGCTCAATTTCGACACTGTTCCACTTCGAATATCTCTTCGCTCAAAACATGAAAGTTGTAGATCTTTCAGTTAGCTTTCCAAATCAATTTGAATCAGCTCAAATGGACTTCCGATGCAAGAGTTATAACTAGAATGGTAAACTCTGCCAGAATAGGCGAGAATCTCGGATGCATGGAATTCGACTTGTCCAACGAATTCTTCCTCTTCCTTTTCTTCCAATTCCTCAACAACGACTCTTCAAAGGCCTGATTCAAGCCTTTACTCTTCAATTCCAAAACGAACAGCTCCATTAATCTCACTCGCTTTCTCTTCTTCCAATTCTTTGTCTTGGAGCTTGTGCGGATCGTATCACTTAGTCAATATAAATCCGTTTTATGCATAATTTCTATGAAAATGTAGTTAACACAAATATCTAGACTACCGTATAATATCATATTTTATCAAAATAACTAACGGATCAAACATGCAGTGCAAATAGAGACTACGAATCTGAACTTCAATTAATGTTCACAAAGATCTTTATCTTTTAAAGCCCAAAATTAAAAGCACAATAATATAATTCATTAAAAACCATATAATTTATATTAATTAGGTTATTATTCCAGTAAAGACCAAGGTCCTTACCCATGAAAATCAAAGGCTATGGAAGAGAAGAAACCAATGATCCATGGAGTTTTGGCTTGGAAATCTGTGCGCTTGACATGGGTTATTGGAGGGTTTTGGAGCTGAGTTTTGAGAGATTATATGGTTGTTTCTTTGAGTATATTTGGGAATCTCGAATTTAGGGAGAGAGAGGAATTTTGAGAGGATTTTAGATGAGGAAAAGAGGGAATTTTATGAAAAATCTTGAAGGTTTTGAAGTGGAAGATGAATTCTTTCTTTTGGGCTGTATTTGGACGAGAAAGAGAAGAGAAAATGAGTATTTTTTTGCTGATGTTTTTATACTGAAAATAGTGAAGAGGAAAGGCTAATTTATAAGGGAGTAGAGGGACTTACCTGTAATATAGAAGACAAGAGGGTGTAGATTGCAATTAGGGGAAATGGAGACTTGTAAACACACCACAAATCCAACAAACACAACCCATACACACGGCAATTTCACAACACACAAGCACATGCACACACAACCTCTATATATATTATTAAAATAATATAGAGAAGAATTTTGGAGGAAATTCCCCATGTATTTACCGAGAGAGAGAGATATGGGCATGTATGTTTCATACATGTACATAAAATAAAAATGCACATAGAACGTACATACATATATACACATAATTAAATCTTCACACATAATCAAGCAAATATAACATATCATAGTATATATGCACACATTCATATAAACACACCATACACATACACGTGGCACATTCATATAATTCACACATATGCATAAAAAATTACACGGCTCATGCACACAATTAAGCACATATAAATATTTAATTACAGAATAAAAGAGAAATTGGGTGGAACTATTAACCAAAATATAAAATCTATTATAAGTCAGATAAACACTTATGATACATGGAATTGAGTAATTACTAGTCATAAATCCATTAATTAAACTATGAACATTCATGAGTTAACTAATTCAGTTAAATTGCATAATAAATTCTAATTCACAAAATTTGTAGGAGTAGAGTCACTGGATCACATGAATCACTTAATCACGTATTCAAAGTTACTAAATCATTTAATCAAACAAGTACAACTAACTCATAAATATCATAATTTATAAAAATCACTTAAACACTTAGAATGCATTGAAATTACTAATTAATCCATGAGTGAATATTCATCATTTATTCAAAATAATCTCATTTAATGCATATAAACAATTAAGGTGCATAGAACTTACTGATTGATTCATGAAAGGTAATATAAATATGGAAATGAACATAGTCATAATTTATTCAAGGGCAAATTACCAAAACCCCCCTGAGGTAAGCCTAAATAACGAAAATCCCCCCCACGTTCTCGTAATTACGAAAACCCCCCTTGACTAACGGTTTACCGAATTTTTTTAACCGAAAACGTGAAATGTCTATTATATCCTTCTGTTAAATATGTGAAAATAAAAGGGCAAATTACCAAAACCCCCTGAGGTAAGCCTAAATAACGAAAATTCCCCCCACGTTCTCGTAATTACGAAAACCCCCCTTAACTAACGGTTGACCGAATTTTATTTATTCATATATTTTAATTGATTTTATTTATCCAGAGGAGTATCAAACCCATATTGTATATTAAATAAAAACAAAAACCCCCACTTACATGTTGTATATTAAATATAAATTAATCTTTAACAAACACATCTCAGCAAATAAAACCAAAAAAATTCATAATATCTCACCCTACCCAATACAAAATAGGAGAAAAATATATTGAGTCTTCTTCATCCATTCATCCTTCGGAAGAGACGACCCAATCTCCAGTCCTCCTTCGGAATCATTCTACTTGCACAACGAAATCGAATACTTCTCTCCATCAATCGACACGACTTCAAGCTTTCTCGCCCTTCCCAATCCGAAATCCGCATCGCACAAGTCGAACTTCGGCGAACCGGAAACCCCAACTGTCCTCATCCCTACAAATTTCTCACTATCGGACATCCAATTCTCGACACCTTTCAAAACCTCGTCTTTGTTATTCACCCTGTTTTTAATATCCAAAGCTATAGCCTCCGCAGCAATTACAAACCCTTCTTCCCTGACAAGTGTTTTGTGCTTGATTTTCGCTATTCCGCCACCCAAGCAATTGCCGAAGTAATTCAGTGGCATCGGCGGATTAGTTCTCCCTCTAACATCGACCGTCAAATTTTCCTCTTAAATTCGACACCTACCTGTTATGTCGAAATTTTTGAAAAGAATCGACACTTGTGTATCGAATTAAAAATCGACATTTGTGAGCGGCGATGGAGGACGTTTTTTCGACGGCAATAGAGGACATCTTAGACGGCGGCGATGGAGGACTTATTTTCCGGCGGCGAGGCAAGTTTTGTCGGTGTGTGGGCGAGTTCTCGGCGGCAGGCAAGATCCCGGTGAGGCTTTGAAGCTTGAAGTCAATCTAGAATGTGTCGTCCGATTGTGGTCTTGCGTGAGAGGAATTGGATTTTATTTATATATTTATGACCCCTCATTAAATAAATTGCTTACAATTACCCCCCTAAGGGTAATTTCGTGTACAAGGGCAAAATTGGTATTATCGGAGGAATATTCAGGAGAATCAAAAAGATTCTATCGAGTTTAACACCGTTAGAGCGATTTGTAAGATGTCTGCATACCTCAGGGGGGTTTTCGTAATTACGAGAACGTGGGGGGGATTTTCGTTATTCAGACTTACCTCAGGGGGGTTTTGGTAATTTGCCCTTTATTCAATGAATCCCTATAATATGCTTATGAAAATGTGGGGTGTTGCATTGTTTGTCGCGATACATATTTTCTTGATAAAAAAATTGGGGTCATGTTGCTATCTATTTTAGTGAAAGTAAAGACGCGGTATATTGTTTATGCTGCTATCTATTTAAGGTTGGAGAAAGTGCCAAAGGGGGCGGTGGTAAATTCGTCAGTGAAGGTTATAGAAACTGGTACAAGAAGGAAAATTTGAGAAAACACGAGGGAAATCATGACAGTGTTCATCATCATTGCTATATGGCTTGTCAAGATTTGATGAATAATAAATGTCACATAGATGTTCCTCTTGAGAGAAAAACTAAGGAATCTAAACGCGACTACTACATTCGGTTGCGTACAACAACGAAGGCCATTAGATATCTATTGAGGCAAGGACTTGCATTTCGGGGGCATGACGAGTCAAAGAGTTCGCTAAATAAAGGTAACTTTGTGGAACTTATAAAGGTTATGGCGGAAGATAATGATGAAATTAACAAAGTTGTTTTGGATAACTCCCAAGGAAATTGTATTATGACAGCACCAGAAATTCAAAAACAAATCATTGGTGCGTTTGCTCATTTAGTCTCGAAGACTATTATTTCTGATATTGGAGATGATTTCTTTGCTTTATTAGTTGACGAGGCACGTGATGTCTCCATTAAAGAACAAATGGCTGTTGCTTTACGTTATGTAAACAAGGGAGGAAAAATTATTGAACGCTTTCTTGGCATTGTTCATGTTCCAAATACGACTTCATGATGTCTGAAAGCTTCTCTTGAGTCTCTTCTTACAACATTTGGCTTGAGTTTGTCGCGAGTGCGTGGCCAAGGTTATGATGGAGCTAGTAATATGCAAGGAGAGTTTAATGGTTTGAAGAGTTTAATATTGAAAGAAAACAAGTCTGCTTTTTATGTTCATTGTTTTGCTCATCAGCTTCAGTTAGCTCTTGTGCAAATTACTAAGAAAAATAAGCAACTTTCAGAATTTTTTGGTTCTCTTGCATTGTTGGCTAACGTTATTGGAGGTTCTTGTAAACATCAAGAGTTGCTTCGGGAGAAACAATTTGAGAAGTTAATGGAACGAGTTTCTTTTGATAATTTTGTAAGTGGTAGTGGTTTGAATCAAGAGTCCACTTTAAAAAGGCCCGGAGATACACGTTGGAATTCGTATTATTTCACAATCACGAGTATGATTAAATTGTTTCCTTCGGTGGTTGGTGTACTAGAGTACTTAGAAAATAATAGTGATGATGTTTCTCATTGTGGACAAGCCTCAATGCTTTTAAGGAATATTGTGTGTTTCGAGTTTGCTTTTGTCTTGCACTTAATGAGATCGATCTTAGGGATCACAAATGATTTGTCACAAGCACTTCAAAGGAAGGATCAGGACCTTGCAAATGCCATGAAACTTGTTATTTTTGCTAAAGATCGACTGCAAGAGTTGAGAGAAGGTGGGTGGGACGATTTGTTGCGAGAAACTTCATCCTTTTGTGTTCAAAATAACATTCTCATTCCAAATATGAATGATGATTTTGTACTTTACTCGAGAGATGGCAGAGTATCGCGAAAAGGTACGCAAATTACAAACTTGAATCATTATAAGGTTGATGTGCTTTATACAGTGATCGATCTTCAACTTTCAGAATTGAATGATCGTTTTGACAATACTAATACGGAGTTACTTAGTATGATATCATGTTTTGATCCAAGTAATTCGTTCTCTGCATTTGATAGAAAGGCTTTGGTGAAATTAGCTGAATTTTATCCTGAAGAGTTTGATGATAATGATCTTGTAGCCCTTGAAAACCAGCTTGAGAATTATATCAGGGATGTTAAAAGTGATCAAGAATTTTCAAATATGAGTGGAGCTAGCAGGCTTGCTGAGAAGTTGGTTGCCAAGAGAAAAAATGTGACTTATCCATTGGTGTACTTATTATTGAAGTTGTCATTAATTTTGCCGGTTGCAACCGCATCAGTTGAAAGAATATTCTCTGCAATGAAGATTGTTAAGTTGGAGCTACGCAATCGAATGGGGGATCAAATGTTGAATGATGTTTTGGTGTCGTTTATTGAAAAAGATATATTGAACGGCGTTAGTATTGATGAGGTGATGAATTTTTTTCAAGAAATGGGACCACGCCGAAAGATATTCTAAAAACTTTATATTTGTATGTAAGAGAATGTACATTTTTAATGTCTTGTACATTTTTTTTTTGCATGTTTATGTTTTTTTTTATTAAATTTCGCACACCCTTGACGTAAAACCTGGATCCGCCACTGCATGAGGCAAGTAACGGCGATGACCCATGTAAGAAATTTTGCTTCTCAATCTCTTCGACCAAGTATGTTTATTACAAACTGGGCACGCCATATAAACCTTTGTGCTCCAACCAGACACACAACCATATGCAGGGAAATCGTTAATTGTCCACAAAAGAGCAGCATGCATTTGAAAATTCTTCTTAGATAATGCATCATAGGTCTGTGCACCTTCATTCCATAAATCTTTTAATTCGTCAACTAACGGCTACAAGTATATATCAATATATGTACCTGGCAGATGAGGTCCAGGATTAAGCAATGACATCATAAAATGTAGCTTATTCATGCATTTTCAAGGAGGCAAGTTATATGGAATGATAATTACATGCCACATACTGTAAAAAGTACTCATAGTACCAAATGGATTGAAATCATCAGTTGCCAAAACAAGTCTTACATTACGGGCATCTTTTGAAAACCATGGATGCTCTTTATCAAATTCTTTCCATGCTCTACCATCAGCCGGATGTGTCAACTCTTTTTCATCAATCTTTCGCTTATCTTGATGCCATCTCATATTTGCTGTTGTTTTTTGTGACATAAGCAACGTCTGCAACCTTGGCCTTGACGAAAAGTAGCGCAATATCTTATGAGGTATTTTCTTCACATTTCCATTGTTAATTTTCCATCTGAAAGTCCCACAAACTGGATATTGTTGAGAATTTTCATACTATTTCCAGAATAAGGCACAATCATACTTACATGCATGGATTGCAATGTACCCCAACCCCAAGTCGTTTAAATTTTTTTTGGCCTCATAGTATGATATTGGAAGAGTTTCGCCGTGAGGTAAAGCTTTCTTTCGTAGTGTTAACATCATGTCAAATGACTTATTGCTCCATTTATTATAAATTTTAAGTGGAGTAAATGCACAATAAAAGATAAAGTTGAGAACTTCGAACAACCTGGGTATAGTTCTTGTTCTGCCTTGGTTAATAAATAAAAAAACAATCATCGGCACATCTAGACTTTCCTCGATATCATATGTGTTGTGGTCTTTATCAAAACTACAAGTATTATCGTAAAAATTCACAAGATCAACCAACAAGTCTTTCACTCCATTTGTTGGTTGTCATCCTCATCTACTTCATCATCATTAGAATTACTAGCAGGAAATTGATAGTTAGAGCGTTCACCGTGATGAACCCAACCTAATATATAAAGTGTCTATCCCTCGAATAAGCAAATGATCAAGCACTACTTTTCTATTTCTAACGAACGACTTCAAGCAATCTCTACATGGACACTTAACGTCAAGTTCCTCGCCAATGTGTTCCTCCACAAACTTCATAAATGAGTCAACTCCTTGCACATATTCACTAGAAAATCTTCTTGCAGTCATCCAAGTTTTGTCCATCTTATATAACCTATTAAAGTATATATAATAAGTATAACATGATTATGAAATAAATAACAAACATGATTTTTAGCAACAAAATAGAATTATGCAAATATACTTCCTGATTTTGACAAGAACTAAAATATATGCAACCATTATTTATGAGATGATGCGCAAGCACAACTGTCGGAAACAAAAACCATAGATTTATAATTATTAATTTACTCAGCATCTCTTTGTTTACGAAAAGTAGGAAAAACTAATCTTCAAACTAATTACCCATATGTCCAGCTAATATTCTATTTTATGTACCTAGCAAAAGTCGTCGTAGCCGCTGCCCAGTCGTCGCAGATATCAATTTCGATACAACCAACACAGTTCTTGAAGCAAAAGGCCAGAAAGAAACATGCAAAGAGGGATCGTTTCTGGTGGAGAAATCAATTGATGAATTGCATCGATAAAAAAATCGAAGTTTAAAATTTGGATTATAGTTTTGGAGTGGTGAAAAAATCAAGTTTAAGAAAACATTGAATTGATGCAAACTTGTTCTTGATGGTGGAAGGAGATGACTTTGTTCCGAAAAAAAAAAAGGGCGTGATATAAGAGACGCTAAGAAGCGTTGACGATTAGTTACCTTTAATCTGGGTTCTTCTTATTAACGTTTCTTTCCTTTACTTTATAATTTTCTTTTATTTTTATTTTCTTTTTGGTAGATTTAAACACTTTCAAATTATAATAAAAAAACAAATCACGATTCTTTCCTTGTCATGAAAGAATTTGTCTTTTTCACATTTTTTTTTTCTTTTCTTATTTCCTTCAATTAAACTGAAGTTAATATATAACATATTTTTATCTTTTGTTTGCACTAATATTCATAACATAGTATTATATATTTAATAAATTTGAATCTTTTTAATGCAATAATTACTTAAATAGATAATATTATTTATATTAGAAGACAATATTAATAACATAGTATTATATATTTTTTTAATGCAATGAATTTATTATTTTGTAAATTCATGTTGTTGCCAACACATTATTATTTAGGAACAAATTATTTTGTTAGAATTTATCTATATTGTTTTTAATGTGTGTTGTACGATTAACAACAATTAACATCGTCGCCTAATAACATTCAGTTGCAACAAAATTATTTCATTGTCGATTATTTACTCTTTTGGTACGATTATGTTTTGTTGCAAATTTATTTACCATTTACAATGATGTATTTCGTTGCCTTTTATCACACAGTGACAACGAAATACAATCGTTGTCAATCAAAATGTATTTGCTACAATTTCCTATCGTGGCAAACGTAATTTTTTATTTCCTACAAAAGAATGTGTTGCGATTGGTTACATTCGTTGCCAAACGTATACGATACTATTAACACTAGGCCAAATTTCATTTCAGGCGACTTTTTTTTTGCGACGAAAAATGTATCGTCGCTCAAATTGCGACGTTTTTATGTATAATCGTCGCAATGATGTATAAATTAATTTTACATTTAAAAATTTTGAGTAATTATTGCGACGATTTTCAGTTACGTCGCAACATTGTCCACTAAATTTCCCTGAAAAACTTGCGACGTTTATTATACATATGTCGCAAATATGCGACGTAAATTTGGTCATTCGTCGCAATGGGAAAAATATAATCCAAACAAATTTTAATTAATAACATTAGCGACAAATATAGGAAAACGTAGCAACGTCATTGGAAATATTGCGACGTTTCTTTGTTTTTTAGTCGCAATAGTTTTCCAATTAATTTATTCTGAATTTACTTGCGACAAATAAGATGAAATCGAAATAAATGTCGCAATAAAAGCGGCAATTTTATTTCATTAAACTTTTTATTGCGACGATTATTGCACTAACGTCGCAATTATGATTCTATTAGTGCGACTAATTTGATTAACGTCGCATTTATCTGACTATTTTATTCATATAAAATTTGCTTCCAGCGATGATTTATAGAAACGTCGCAATGTAAAATTATAATCCCTTTCGTACGCCCTAATTGAACACTTTCTTCCTCACCCCTGTGCACCCACTGTCGCTCATTTTGCCTCTCCCACACCGCTGCTACTGCCGCTACAACACTTCGCCACAGACTTCGAAGCAATCCGCCGTCGTCGTCGCCATCTCGACCGACGACATCAGCCATTATTCAGCCAAAGCCGACGGCACAGGCATCGCCCAATCCCCCCTATTCCGCTCCTCATCCCTCTTCTACACCAGCGCCGCCGCTTCCTACTCCACAGCAATCTGCCGCCACCGTCGCAGCCGACAAATCAACAACTGTTGAGACAAAGTCGAGCCACCACCCAAGTCCCTCTTCTCTCACTATTCCTCCCTCTTCCAAATCGCCGCCACCGCCACTGCACTTAGCAGTCGACACTGGTACAATCTGCCATCCATTCTGCCGTTCACCAAATTTGTAGAGGGTAAGTACTGAAACTCGATTTGACTTTTATTTTTTTGGGTTTGTATATGACGTAACTTATTTTGAAGAAATCTAGGCTATATTTTTACTGTAAAATATGTGAAATAAAAGTTTTGAGAATTGAAATTGGAATAAATAGCTATTTGATTGAGGTGGAGTTGGAATTAACTGGGATGTGTTTGTTTTGAGGTGTGTGCCTTTATGTTTAAATATGCATTTTAGTAGGAATTTTGTTTTGTTGTGTTTGTGTCTGTATGTTTTAATATGTTTAAGAGTAAAAAGCAGTTTACCCCCTAAACAAATGTCCGTTTTGCACTTTGCCCCCCAAACAAAAAAAATTTGCACGTTCTTACCTAAACTCCAGTTTTTGTTGCACGGTACCTCAAAATTGGAATATTCAGGCCATTTTAACCGGAATCTTACACACGTGCTATTCACGTGAGTTTTAAAGGGGCAAAATAGTCTATTCTCTTACATTCTTCATAAATAAAAAAAAAAAAAAACAAAAATTACAGTATTATAATACCTATTGCAATCAAAGCAGCAACAGCAAACATCTCAGCAATCGCCAGGGGCAAATTGGAGAGAATCGACAACACTTTTCTAGGCAAACCCTTCAGCCTCCACGAATCGACCTTCGGCGGCGGAATTTTCGGATCTCCACCACTTCCGCCGCCGGAAACCGCCGGAGCTCCGCCAGGATCAGGTGCTTCAATTTTAGTTGCCGTGCTCTTGTTCTTCTTCTTGCCCTTGTTAATTCTACTCTCATTGTCAGAGGTTTTGAGCTGCGCAAAAACGGCGGTGTTGGTGGTGAAAGAGAGAGTGAGGGTTCTGCCATTTCCCGGTTTCTGCATGAAGTGTAGAGACAGTAATAATTGTTGGGGAAGGGTAATTGGGATCCAATATACCAAATAATTGGTATATTGCCCATTCCTTGTAAAGAAGCGGGCGGCGGCGGTGGAGGGTAGGGTGGAGAGTGTGAAGAGGAGTAGAGTTGTGAAGAGGAGGAGCAAGCAGATGGAGCTTGTGGATTGGGCTTTGTT